AGCTATGATGCCGTCAACTGTTGTGATGTTCAGCCAGTTGCCAGGAAAGTTGATTGCTTCTCCCCAAGGTGTATCTGGTTTGTCACCTCCTGCAAAAGGAACGAGAAATTGAAGGGTTTTTTTTATAGACTCCCTGGTTTTGGTTTTCGTGACCTTCCATTTCACCTCATTTCTGGTGTATAACCTTTTTACTTCCTGCTATTCTGCCTGTCAATCTGCCCTACACACGTGCTGTCAACCTACTTTGATCGAATAAACAGGCACACAAACCCACAGTTCAGCAACGAAGAATGTAATATAAATAGTTGGTAGATTCTTCCCAGCTATTTCATTAGTGGTGGCATGTAGAGTACTTGACGTTGTCTGGTAATAGTCACATTGCAGGTAAAATGGCAAGCAGACACATGCAGTGGGGAATATACTTTAGTACATGGATAGACAACGGGGATATGTACCTATGCAGGTGCTGTTGATATCAGTGATGTCTGTGTATGAAAGAATCTGGTTCACGACTGCAGTCAGACCATAGCTGTTCAAAGCTGCACGGGAATCAGTGCCGATCTACAGGGGAGCAAGAGGATTGTGTCGATCATGTCGATCGGTATACACGTTTGTCTTTTAGAGGCGATTCGTGGCGCTATTGCTGATGAAATAACGTAATCTCTCTCTCCCCCCCCCCTCTCTCCCAGTCTTTTGTATCAGTGACGGCCACACAATCACATGACAAACACGTCACAATTAATACAAAATCTATGCACCGGCGGGCCCACCCAACACAACGATACAGCGATAATTACATCCTTTTCAAAAAATTGTGGAAGAGAAAATATGTAGTATTTACAAAATGTCAGGTACATCATCAGACAGATTTTATTCATTCCATCCACCATATCCATTACATCATTTCTACATTCATATCAAGATAAAACCCTCCTAGGTAGATCTTTTTACTGTCCAAACATGTTTCCCAGTTAATCAAAAGAGTGCCCCCCTTACATGGTTCTGAAGGAAGTTGAAGTACGTGACGAGTCGTTCCACAGCCAGCAGGGCATCCTTGTATCCCTCCGCGAGCAGCAGCTCCTGGATTTCACACATGCGCTCAAACACGTGTCTGCAGTTTCCAGCGTGGGTCTGAACAGGTGGAATAACCTGAAAAAAAAATTCTCAAAAATTTTTCGCCTATTGTGGAGCTTCATTAAAATGACTTTTCTTCAGACATTCTGGGCTGAACTGGCACGGGAGGGGCGATATCTAACAACCTTTAACCCGTTGCTGACATTGATTGGATCAGATAACTAACTCCAAGGGAAGTCTTTCTTTTTTAGTTGGAAAACAGTTCATTTATTAGAATTGTACATGTCTCTGTTGATTCCACTGAATATAATATTCTAATAGCGATATTCTTGTTTATCAACATGCTGCAGTACCTGAGGACTGATGGTGGTATTTGCCCTCAGGACACCTCCCAGAAATCCCTGCACGTTGACGAGCACGGCGCACGCGCCTGCAGGGTCTCCGGCCACGAGGTCCAGCGGCACGGTGAAGCTGGACATCCGGGTCACGCTGGCGAGGTGGGTCACCTGGGCGTGGACTTGCGACGTGAAGTCATAGGTCAGACGTGGCTCCAGCTCGCCTGTCCACCCGGTCAGCTCACAACTAGCCGAAAAGTTTGTTTCGTACAGCATTCCTGTATTTCGGGGACAGAAAGTGTAACATGTGGTAATGTTTAAGCAGCTTACTTAACATAAAGAATAACACGCATGCGTAGCGTCAGACGACAAGAAGAGACTCGAGCCTGACAGAAGGTCTGAGTGAGTGACTAGAGAATAAACCAAGCCGATTCAAGTATTCCAGCTTGGAGTCACGTTATTGGATTACTACCAAGAGGTAGGGGCACGACAACAGAGTCTAAGAGAAAAGACAAGAGCCGTCGCATGGTGTCGGAAGCCGGATGAGAACCTAGAACGTTGAGAAGAAACGAGAGGTTCGACCCAAGTTTCCAAGAAACAGACTGGAGGCAAAAGAGAGGCCCATTGTTTTAAGCGTCCAGGAAACAGGTCAGACGAATTCCTGATGTCTAGGATTTGTCAGCGCTAACAAGAGCTAGTCTAGGGGCATAGGTGGCCAAGACGTCATCTATCACTGACTAGTTAGGAGCTGATTAGAGTGACAACTTGTAAACAGTAGCCTAAGATGGCGGAAGGGCACAGTCTGAGAGCTCCTGGTCCACTGGATGTTAATTCAAGAACCTTAAGTCTGACCTGGAAGCGTTGGAAGGAAGAAATACTGTTATATCTTGATCTAGCAGTAGAGGATGACGCTGCAAAGAAGAGAAAGACGCTCTTGTACTTAATTGGAGAAAATGCACGGAAAGTGTATGGCACCTTCACCATTGTGAATGCTCAGAATGAAGCAGTTGCGGAAGCAGACCGAACTGTAGAGCAAATCGTCGCAGCATTTGAGACATACTGCAATCCTAAGAAGAACGAGACAGTAGAAAGATACAAATTCTTCACGAGATCACAGAGCAATGGTGAGACTTTTGATGAATACATCACAGACCTGAAGACACTCGCGGCAGAGTGTGGGTTTGGTGAGATTAGAGAGTCTCTGATTCGAGACAGAATACTCATCGGCATTTTGGACGGAAAGGTTCGCGAACGACTCCTGAGGGAGAGCAACCTAAGCCTTGTGAAATGCGCAGAGATCTGCCGAGCCGCAGAAGTCTCCAAGCAGAGCATCCAGACGATGGAACAGGTCACAGTGCACGTGGTAAAGAAGAAGCCACAAGCTCCGCAGGCCAGTAGGACATCAGTTTGCAAATACTGCGCCAAGAGACACGCAGCCAACAAGGAAGCATGTCCTGCATATGGAAAGGAATGCGCCTCCTGCGGCAAGCGAAACCACTTCGCGAGAGCATGCCGGAGTGGTGAAACGAAGCAGCCTAGAAGCGGCAGAAGCCAGGCACAAGGTAGAAAGAAGCCCTTGGTGCACATGCTGCAAGAAGAAGCAGTGATGACAGTCACAGAAGAAGAGAAGACGTACAGCATGTCAGGTCCCAGGTATGCAAAGCAGGTGCATGCCAGGATGGCCCTCGAGGGACACCTGGTCACCTTTCAGCTAGACCTTGGCGCGACCTGTAATGTAATGCCAAAACACATCTTGGACAGCAACAACATCCAGTATAAGACAACTGGAGCGCAGAGGGTGCTGACGATGTATAACAACTCACAAATTGTGTCAGAGGGAGAGACAAATCTCAAGATGACAAACCCCAAGACTTGGCGGAGGTACGTGGTGAACTTTGTAGTCATTGACTCTGGTAGTATGCCATTGTTAGGATCTAATGCCATACAGCAGATAGGGGTTGTGACGGTTCACTACGACAGAATCCTGGCACTCAGTGGCAGCAAGCCCAGGCTCATACAGAGTACACACAGCAAGGCATTGACAAAAGAGTCCCTATTAGAAGTTTACCCAGACGTCTTCTCTGGTTTGGGAAGACTGCCAGGAAAATGCCATCTTGAAGTTGATGAGTCAGTCAAGCCAGTTGTGCATCCGCCAAGAAGAGTGCCGGTGGCGATGAAGGCACAACTACAGAAGGAACTGGACAAGATGACGGAAGATGGTGTCATAGAGCCAGTGACAGTGCCAACCCCATGGGTATCCAGTCTGGTCACTGTACTGAAGCCAACAGGAAAGTTGAGGATCTGCATTGATCCAAGAGATTTGAACGCCGCATTGAAGAGAAGCCATTACCCTGCACCAACAATAGAAGACATCCTTCCCGAGCTGAAGAAGGCAAAGGTATTCAGCGTACTTGATGCCAAGAGTGGCTATTGGCAGGTAGTGTTGGACGAAGAATCCTCGCTTCTAACCACATTCAACACTCCCAGCGGGAGATACAAGTGGAAGCGCCTTCCCTTTGGGATTAAATCGTCCCCAGAGGAATTCCAGAGAAGACTTGACCAAGCATTGGAAGGGCTCGAGGGAATAAAGCCCATCGTAGACGACATCTTGGTGTGGGGAGAAGGAGAAACAATGGCAGAAGCCATCTCACATCATGATGCAAATCTCAAGCGCCTCATGCAAAGATGCAGAGAGAGAGGTTTGAAGCTGAACGCAGAGAAGGTCAAGCTCAGACAACAAGAAGTACCATTTCATGGTCATCTGATCACCAGCCAAGGGCTGAAAGTGGACCCTAGCAAGGTCACTGCGGTGATGAAGATGCCAAGACCTGAAGATGCACAAGGAGTGCAGAGGCTGATAGGATTTGTCACCTACCTAGCCAAGTTCCTGCCCAAGCTGAGCGACATCTGTGAACCCTTGAGGAAGCTCATCGCCAAAGAAACGAGTTTGAGTGGACCGAGACGCATGAGAGTATCCTAGAGACACTCAAGAAGATGGTCTCCGCTGCTCCAGTGTTGCGATACTATGATCCGGAAGAAGAGCTGACGCTGCAGACAGATGCGTCAAGCACTGGATTAGGAGCAGCCATCACTCAAGATGGGGACAACCAGTGGCCTACGCCAGCCGAGCGTTGACGGACACTGAGACGAGGTATGCACAGATAGAGAAGGAGATGCTCAGTGTGGTTTTGGGTCTGGAACGCTTCCATCAGTACAC